ACAATTGGTGCTAAAGTTTGCATGTGTTTAGACATTAGATCATGCATATTCATCTGACATAATTTTCTAACATTGACTTGGTTACGGAACCAATGAGATCACGAAGAATGATGAAACAATAAGAACGATAGAGAGAAATTTCTATGTACTTATAGAGAAAACTCAAGATAAGCATAAGTTTTGATGCATAACAAAATCCAATATATATACATTACATATGTGTTACGTAGAATATAAGAGTGTGAAAATGAAATTTAACCGTTCAAGAGAAAATATGAGTACAATATTGAATGGTAAGCGTAAATATATTAAAAAAGTACGACAACTGATAAATATAATTTTTTATTTAAGAATGCAAGGAGACATATGACAAAAGAATGAAAAGGGATAAATATGGGTTAAGACCATTTTATCCAATTCATATTTGTTCAAATTCATTTTCACTCATGTTTATATGGATAGATCACAATCCAATTCATTTTCAATCGACTCAAATTTGATTAAATCGACCCAATTGTCACCCTTATGCGTGTCGAATTATGAGTTGATTAGTTAACTCATAATTTTGTTTTTTTGTTGGCAGAGGGATTACATATAATGAAGAATAATATTGAATAGGATGTTTAGTAATGCACGATTAGTCACGCAGAGATTATTTATTATGACTTGTTTGGTTTGATATTAAAAATAATATTCATAACATGATTTCTAAAAAACAGAACCTCCACAAATATGGTGGAAATGGTGTAGAAACGATTTTGAGGAACAATTGTGTCTTTAATCATTATATTACATGCATTAAAGCTTACTGCATTATTAATAGTCTAATACCATGAATTTTCATGTATTGATTGTTTTTTTTGGTCCTTTGACCATTCTGCAAAAACATCAATGGGACAAAGCCCAGTGTCTTGGGTTTGAAAAAATATTTCACTACTAATATATAAAAAAAATTAATACATGCAGTATATTTTTTTTAATGCACTTTAACGAACAATATCTTAATGCATTGTAACTTCAATTTTCTTTCATTTGTGACAATATAATATTTTCAATTTTTCACCTTGTTACGCTTCTTTGTTCACGAGTGATAAACCCCAAAGATTTATACATATGGTGGAAGTCATGTAGTTAACAAAGGCATGGAGCTCATGTTTCAATTTATAAGTCCCTTTACTTTAAAATCTGCTTCTAAAACTAATTACTGTCACTTTATTATATTCATTTTAATCATTCTTTAACTTCTAACATTTCTTATATATATGTTTAAAATCGCAAGTTCATTACTTTTTAAAGTGAAAATTTCATATATAATATATATTATAGTATTATTTTCGAGCTATAGTAGTAGAGTTTCAGTTTCAAGTTATAGCATTTACAATTTCAGGATTTAACAAATTCACCAAAAAGAGAAATGTTTTATTAATTGGAAAAAAACTGTAAAAATAAAAATAAATAAATAAAATTGTTTTTTTTAAAACGGAATTAAAAAACAATAAATTAAAAGACTGAATTTGTGGCCTGTTATTTAATTTGAAATTATTATAGATAATTAATGATTAGCACTAAATAAGGAATCCAAACAAATTAACATTATTTTTTATCCTTAATTAACTCAATTCCGTTAAAATTAAATCTAATCAGATCATTTCCTTCTTTTCATCAAAGTTTCTCTCTCTTCATTCTTCATAAAAAAAAAAATAATCTCAGGAACGAATAGTTGAATATTTTTTTCATTGAAAAAATTGATTTTATAGATATGGACAATTGCGTATCAATTTTAATTAAACACGGTGGAAGATGGGAACATTCGGGTAAGTATTTAGATTGTTTATTGTTTGTTTTTAAGTTGAGTTGAAACGAAAAATTGTTTTGTTTAACTGAAAATGTTGTAAAATGTATAATATTAGTGATTTTAAGTTTTTGTGGTTGTTTTGTGTATTTTTTCTTAAATTATAAAGTGATTGTATATTTGCGAATGAATTTAATAGAATTTTTGGAAAGAAATCTCTAAGAAAAATGTGTTAAGTTATATGTAAAGAAAATTATTTGGATATTTTGACAAATTGTATGACAAGTGATTTTAGTTGGTATTAAATTCTAAATTTTACTGGATCATATTAGATGTTGTCACCGCTGAAGAAATTAGTGAGTTAGAAATTAATTGTCTGGTAAGATTAAAAAAATGTATTTGTAATGAGTGAGTAATTGTTGTATGAAATGTGTATTAAGTGTGTTTGAATGTTGGTATGATATAAGCTGTCTTTGCGACATGTGTATGAAATGTATATTAAGAAAGTATGAATTTCGTTTGTAGTCGTGTCTGACGAAATGTATGAAAAGTTTTTTTAATGTTGTATTGATGGTGAAATTTTATGTAGACATTTGTGTATAAAGTTTTTTGTTATTAAATAAGTATTTGATGTATGATTTAGTATGAAAGTGCTTGGAATGTACTATTTGAATGATATTTGTAAGAATTGTTTGTTTAATTAAATGTAAAAATTGTTTTGTAATATTTTGTCTGTCTGAATGATATTTGTATTTCGAATTGTTTGTTTATAATCTGATACCTTTTTTTTTTTTAATGAAACAAGGCATTATGTGGATTTTCAAATGGAAGGGGTTTTATATGATTCTTCTAGTCTTTATAGTGGTCTATTAAGCGTGTTAACATCGCAACTTATGATAGATACTAATATAAATGATTTAGAGATAAAATATTTAGTAGATGATCGATGCCCACCTGTTAGAATACACAATGATGTTGGTGTGCGTGTTTTCTTAGATCAAAAGAAAGTTAATTTGGATTTCTTTACTAAATATCCATTGTGCATAACTTAGTTTATTCATTCAGTAATCATACAGAATGCATACTCTTATAAATTTAGTTTTTTTTATATGTGTTTCAATTTATACAAGATTCATTCATTCAATACACAAAATTCATAAAGTTGTTAATAAAAATTGTTCCTAATTAAATGTATTGTATATATTAGTAATACTTATAAAAAGTTAATTATGTAATTAATTCAAACACTATTTTTATGGTTTAATCCATTGTTTTTTTTATATGTGTTTCAATTTATTCAAGATTCATTTATTAAGTACACAAATTTCATACAGTTGTTACTAAAATTTGTTCTAGATTTAATGTATTGTATATATTAGGACTACTTATAAAAAGTTAATTATGTAGTTAATTCAAACACTATTTTTATGGTTGGGCATACATATATTAAGCATATTTATGTAATTCAAACACTAATTTTAGGGGTGATAAATGTATTGTAAATATTAGTAATACTTATAAAAAGTTAATTATGTAATTAATTCAAACACTATTTTTATGATTTAATCACTGGTTTTTTTATATGTGTTTCAATTTATTCAAGATTCATTCATTAAGTACACAAATTTCATACAGTTGTTTCTAAAATTTGTTCCAGATTTAAATGTATTGTATATTGGACTACTTATAAAAAGTTAATTATGTAGTTAATTCAAACACTTGTTTTATGGTTGGTCATACATATATTAAGCATATTTAATTCATGAGAAAATAAGACAGACGCATACACTGATCATTGATTAGTCATACATAATGCATACTGTAAGAATTTTTTATTTATACACTATTCAATAATATCAAATCTGTCGAATTGTTTATATTTAAAATTGTCTCATATTTAAGATATTGTATATATTAGTGACTAATTTAAGATGTGGTCATACACATAATAATTACTTTTAATTCAAACTAAAATAAGAAAACAAGGAAAACACAATTTGCGTTTTTAATAGTAAATTCATAATCATATTGATATAACTGGTATTTCATACCTGTTTCATACATTCAGTATACACATTACTGCTTAAAAGATAGTGTATCCGAACTGTATGAATTATGTATAGTATTTTTGTCCTGAACTTATGAAACCCAAACATTATAAAAAAAAATTCATACCAGACACTATGTGCACAGTGTTAACTATTTTATAACACTCAAACAAGAATAAAAAGGTGCAATCAATTGTTTTGATAACATATTGTAGTATATATCATCAAATACTTAAACGGTAAAGAATTATCCAAAAGTTAAACAGAAAAAAATTGTCCAATCAACTATTTAGACTTTTTAATCGGTGGTATTGGTGTAGGATAATCGGTTGTATTCGGAACGTGTTCTTTTGCTATCTGAGGTCCACCATATTTGCTAGCAACTGTCTCCATAACTTCACTTTCGCTGATCGTGTCATCTTCAAACAGTATGTTAAAAGGATGGAGCATGAGCATCATCGATTAAGGTTTCATCAAATCTGAGGCTCTTTCTTGGAGTTTCCATCGATTTCTTAGACATGATTAATCGGTTTGATTTTGGAGTGTTGATGGGTTTTGGCGGTTTGATTTTGGAGAAGATGAGAAATAATGGAGAGAGAATGATAGTGGGTGGTGGGTTGAGGCGTGTGTGAGTGAAGAAACGTGTGGGGGTGGGGGGGTGGTGTACGATTGGTGAGGGTAACGGTAAACAAGGAAAAGATATTGAGTAAATCCCTAAATTTGGGTAATTGACATTTTCTTTAAAAGGAAGTAAAAAACAAATTAATTACCTATTATTAATTAAAATTAAAAACCTATAAATATATTAATGATTTATTAAATAAATATAATTTAAATTTAAAATAAAAATAATTTTAACTGATATGTCATAACCAATAAATATTTTGTTATAATCAAGAAATTTTTAAAAGTAGGTTTAAAACTCGTAATATTTACTCTTAAATGTGTATATGGGGTGATTTTTCCCTTTTTAAATTCCATATCCAATTAAACTAAGATACATGGAAATATTTCATTCAAGAAAATTTAAATCCCTATTTATATATATAATCCTACATAATGTTGTACTTGTCCCTTATTTTCAGGACACTTGAAACTCCTATTTCCAGAACACATCCCAACTCATAAAGCAGCAAGAGATATATATGGACCAGAAATTTCTTAAATCCTTGAAGCAAATAATGTAATGAGCATACAGAAAACACTTGTCTGAATCAATTCCCAGCCTTGGAAGAAGGAAAAAAACAATCCAATTAACTCCAGGGCTGCAAGCATTTGTCATACAAGAAAAATATCATTAACGAGTGTGATCACATGCTTTCTTATAGGCGGCTGATAACCTCTTCCACCTCTGATGGTGAGTATAGATGGTAAGTTGGAGATACCCTTGCAATATCAACATTATTGGGAGTCACCTGAATCAAACAGTGGGAACTTTTTCAGAAACAAGGAACGAAATCATGAAAATAGAAGTGTCATGAGGCTTACTGCTTACCTTCTCTTCCATCACTTGCTTAAGAATTGACAGTGCTATGGTTTCAGCTTCTTTAAGGGTAAGGTCCTGCAGAAAAAGCAGATAATCGACTTAGATCAACTTTAAGAACCATATGAAAGCTAAACTCCAGGCTTGCTGTTCCAAAAATAGCCACCTGCCACCTACAATATTAAATTTATGAGTGAAAAGTGACTGTGATTTACTTTCCTCTATTGGAGGAAGAGAAGAGGGAAATGGTGTTAGGGGTTGAAGGCAATTGAATGCATCAAACAACCTCAAGCTGCTGAAGACTGGACAACAGCTATGATGATTTCCTGAATACTTGTTTCCACAAACATCTATTTTCGGAGGTGCAAAGGCTAGCATGCTTGTTTGGAAGCGTACAAGTGGGTGAGCGCATCACCAACCAAACTAGCTACTCGAACTAATAAGGTTGGACATCATGTTTGAACTGAGCTATTTAGGGCAAAAATATAAGGAGGGGAAACCCTCCTCTACTTCTCGGGCTTCCACGGAAGATACTTTATAAATGCGGAACTCATGAAGTTCTCCAGCATTCAAGCATCCAAACAGTTGAAATGAGGGTGAATAAAAAAAGGAACTGGACCTATTATTACATCTTCCACTAGCAACATTACCTCCAGCCTGCTGCAGACTGGACCGTAATTAGGACTATAGGACATGGTTTCACTAGAAAAATAAGAAAACTTAGATACCTTGTTATACTGCTCCTGCAAAGAGCTATCAGCACCTTCAGAACCTGACCCAATAGCTTTAGCATTGCATTGCCAGAATGTACCAGAAGGATCAGTATAGTACCTGCACATCATAATTGGGCGACATTCAGTATCTACAAATTATGTCCCTTGATACCCACAATCAGGGTAGGAAGTAATGAGAAGCCGAGTACTTGAATAAACTATGTAACGTTAACAGTATGCTTATGAAATTCTGAATCCAGTACTTTTCTTAGGAAAAACCAAATATAGTCAAAAGTCTGATTTTAGCAGCTCATCACACAAAAGCCCAATTTATCATGGCCAGTTGGTAGCATCATTTCCAGGAATGTGATCTTTTGACCTCTTCAGTATTTAATATTCATTAACAACAACAACAACAACAACAACATACCCCAGTGTAATCCCACAAGTTGGGTCTAGGAAGATAGGATGTATGTAGACCTTACCCCTACCTTTGTGGGGGTAGAGAGGTTCTTCCCGGTTGACCCTCGGCTCAAAAGACTATAACAAGGGATTAGGAGATAATATTAGAGCAACATTGTAGTAATTTTTGGAGAGGTAGGTTTTAGTGAGCCAGTGCCTAATACATAAGACACCAGATGTGACAACCATGACAGGTAGGCTAATACACAACCATCCTTGTTGAGCTCAGGCCAATACGCAACGACCAATGACCGTTTACCCATCTCCTGCTGGGAATAGAGAACCATAGTTTATTAAGTAGAGCTTTAAAATGGAGTGGATCAAATCGTGACAATGGGCAGTGCTTCCTGGATGGATTTATGTTAGGCATCTAATTTAAAGCAGATGTTTGAGCAGTAGGATGAAATCTTCATGCTTCTTAATTAACTCTATTTAAGGAAAGCGTATAATTTGAACTTACAAAAAGAATACTTGTCCAATCTCAAAAAACATAAACAATACTAGTGCTGAGTAAAGGGCTGTTCTACATGGAGGGGAAGGGACCCCAGAAGCAAGGATAAACTAGTACTCCCTCCCGTCCATATTAAGTGAATTGTTGGGACTTTTTTCATAGTTCAAAATAAGTGAAGTATTCAAAGTTCAAGAGAATTGCTGGGACTTTTTTCTATATTTATCCTTCATTTAATGAGGTTCTTAACTACTTCACATTTTCTAGGAGAAAAATTTGGGAATAATCAAAAGGGTAATAGTGGGAAATAGTCTTTGATTTATATCCTTATATATTTTTCTTAAGGTGTGTGTCATACCCCAACAATTCACTTAATATGAACTAGAAGGAGTAATATATTAAGTGCTTAATATTCAATTTATATGAAAGTATTTTTCAACTAATTGAGATAGAATTCATTTTACATTAAAAAAAAAGCTCATTATCTAATGAAAATAGAATTGAAATTTTAGAAGTGATGTTCAATACTATATTAAGATGATTTGTGTATATTAGAGCGACTTGATGAGATTTATAGAAAACATGGTCAAATAAGTGAAAAGAAGTTTTGTCAAAAAAAGTGTAAAGGAGTTTTCCCATGAGATTTAGTATTAATGCATCTGAGATGCAATGGAATTTCTAGTCAAATATTTTACATCGTTTTCTCGAGATCCAATATGCATAAGTCCAACTTAGCCAAAGTCAAAGTAGTATTCGAAAGCAAATTTGGGAGAAGAAGGAAGTCTCTGAAAGATAATATTCCGGCAGCTCTATCAGACTTGATTCAATACCAAGAGAAGAAAATATTGAAAACAAAATATCATAGTTTCCAATACTATCATAGAAGAGATGCAAAGACTTACAAGCTGGGACCATTCTCATCATGACCAGCAATGAGAAGGGACACACCAAAAGGCCTGGACTGCATAAAACAAACGAGATAGACCATTAATACATAAAAAGGTAGGACTTAGGAAATCTGACCTCACAATACTCAAAACATAACAATAAGGGAAACTCTAATCCTGCTGATGAGTAAGTCAACTGTAGAAACTACGGAAGAATGTCTATTTCTTCTGACAAACTTCTTCAACAACACTGATAATCTCCAGACATCCAACTTTTTAGAATATGTTATGAAATTAAAAAGAAAGGAAATGAAGAAACTAGATCAGCACAAGACAGTCATTAGAGCAAAATGCACACCACAGAATATGATCAAAATTAACCAGGTAATTCCAAACAGATTAATTCATACATGATAATATTATCCATAAACAACTTAATTAACTAACTAGTTAAATCATAAATAACCCTTTGCCCTCTCCCTTCTCCCCTTTCCTTTTGTCCAAGATAACCAGACAGGCTAAGCATATCTTTTGTCCAGCTTACACTATATAGAATCACCACTCGAACTTCATGAGTTCTTTACAAGCAAAGTTTATAAGTATCATGCATCATTTTTCCTTAGAATATAGAATGTAAAGAGAAGAGCAAATGCACTTATATAGCTGATAAACTGTGATCCTAGGTACTAGCACCTAAGAGGATCTCAGACTCAACAGCCAGCCTCTGGATCTATCACTACCCAGCTGGCATATGCAAGAGCATGTGAAATACAACTACAAATTGAGAGAGAGACACATATAGAGATGATCACTGCCTAACAATCTTCACGCTGATCACTGATCTCTTTTTTGGAGGGGGGAGGAGATAAATGTAGTGACCTGTTACCTTTTCATTCTAAAGTCAGCATAGGCAATGTTCGAAAGCACTTGAGATACATGCACAAGTCCTTTAGTGAGACATAAAGAGAAGGGAACAAGAAACTATCACTAATTATATTTATTTTCACCTTATGTCACATGAAGTAGTTGCTGGTTTATATTTATTTAACTTATTCACTTGATGAAATTAACATAACTAGCATAATATCTAAATTCCACTTCATATAAAGTCATCTGTTTAGTTCCAACTAATTTTTTAGCCAAAATAACAAGGGAACAGCAAAAGATAATATTGGAAAATGGAAAAGATGCTTTCTACAAAATAAGGCACCACTAATTTTTAACTGAAAGATAGTTGTTCACAGAGAAACAAAGAGTACTATACTAAAGTAAAAAGAATCTCACCATAGATTCTTCATCGCCCTCACCAAATCGCAACGCCAAATCACAGAGAGCTTGGGTAGTGGACTCAACAGTCATGGGCTCACCATAAGAGAATCTATGGTTCTGTTGAAAGGGGAAGGGAGGACAAAACAACAACACAAAATCAGCAATTTACCACTATCACACAAATACTTGAAGGTTAAAGATGTTTCCCTAAATACCTGAGTTTCAACCCGTGCATGTTCCACAAGAGTCCGTGCATCAGCTATCAATCCACTCATTGCACAGCCAATATGCTCGTCAATTTCCATAATTTTCTCCACACTGCTTGGCTCCTATAAGAATATCAAAACTGTGTCACGAATGAACAATACAGAAAATAAACTGAAGTTATCAGGCGAGCGAATAGCATGTTCTCTATTATTTAGATGAACCAACTGAGTGCACAAAATAGAGTGATAGCCAAGCAAGCAATAAAAGGGAAACTGGTCTGTAGCTTTTCTAATTCTTGATCTAGAAGTCGTGTAGCCTACTATGGATATCTCTGCCACCAAGTTTAACTGTTTCATTTCAATTTCATCAGATGCCCCAAAAGAGACCACCAAGTTTAACTGTTAAAATGTAGGTCTTACCAATGATATACTAAGCACTAAACAGTGTCAATTAATAGTTAGCACAAATGATTTTTCTAAAATCAAGTATGGTCAGGCACCAATGATATGGTGACACTAGAAAAGAGACTTCAGAATACAGACATATAGAGTTGGCATTGCCTTCTGAGAGGCAAAAAGGGTTTTACTTTTTCCCATCAGTGAAGTTGTAACTTTCATTAATCGAGTTAGAGGAAATTTAGGTTGTACAACGCCTCAACGTTCTTCATATGAACCACAACTCCAACCATATTCAGACATGCTCTGTTATTTCCTCATAAAGTGACCATTCAATGTTTGTACAATTTTATATTTAGAAAAACGCCATTGTTTCAATGTCGATGTCAATTAAGAAAATTTCAAAGGAAAATGAACAGCCACATAGTTAAACGCAGAGACATGTACAAGTTGAGCTGTGTTGTGGAGGGGGAAGAACTCCTTTCACAATATTACAAGATTCCCAACAATTAGCAATCATTTCCCCAATCCTGTACCCCACAAAACCTATACTACAATTTACATTGGTGAAGCTCTACCAGCATTTCTTATAGGTGTTATTGCTGAAAAATTGAACTTCCCATCCAACTATAACCCATGAACATAATCACTAAACCATACAGAAGTAACATAAAACCATCCCCAATGGAAAGGGAAACAAGTGTTACAAACCAGAAGTGGTGAAGTAATGCGCTTCTCCACAGCAAGAACAACTCCTTCCTTGGTCTTCAGTCCAATTGCAGTTGAACCCAACTTCAAAATATCATAATTTGAAAATCACAAAACCAAAAAAAAACACCCATCAGCTATTTTCCGTCCCCCAAAAAAAAGAAAAAACAGGAAGCGAAAATCAAAGAACTTACCTTGATAGCTTCAATAGCATATTCAACTTGAAACAATCGTCCTTCAGGCGAGAAGGTGTTAACACCTCTATCGTACTCAGTTCTTCACATCAAATTTCCAAAAAAAAATCATTCAATTCCGATTTAATTGAAAAATAAAGTAGATTAAGCACCAAACAAATGCAAAATTTACCTGGTAAGAAACATCTTTGTTGAAATTTGTTACAGATTCAAAAACCCTTTGTTGAGATTTGTTTGAACTGAAGATTATTAAGTTTTCTTCTTCTTCTTCTACTGTCTTTAAACTTGATTAGCAAGACATTGTTGCTCTACTTCTTTTTTGTTGGGCTTTTTACCCGTTGGAGTCATTTGCACTTATAGCCCATTTGCGGGATATAAATTTATATTTTGGTATCTTAATATTTTGTTCGGACATAATTTTAATTTCTAACGAATTTATGTCCCATTCGGAATAATTCCAATTGCTACAAGAAAAAAATTGTATTGTATATTTATCAATTATCTTTTTTCTTTATTTAAGATGGCTATATAGGTTAATCTTTTTATTTATGTATGTATGTAATTTTCTAACACATATGTTTGTTTTTTAGATAAAAATGGACCAAAAACTGATTGTAAGCACCCCTAATTAGCGTTGTCGTGGTTAGGTTTTCATCACACACAAAAAAAACTGAAGTATATTGATCCATTTGGTTCGATACTTTTGTTTTTTTAAAAAAAAATCTATTTTTTCTTGATATATACATGAAATATAAATATTTTTATTTTTTTCTTGGTCTATGAATAATTTCTTTCATAAGTCGATATGTGTAGAAGGATTTGAAGCAAACATAGAAGCCTTCATTAGAAAGCAAGTTGATTATTTAGGACACTCTATTCTTGTCATGGTCTTTGCTACATCAATGTGGATTATTTTGTGAAATAGTGATTAAAATTTTGTAATCTATGGTCTAATTAAATAATATTTTAATTTGAACATGAGGGTGCAAAGACTAAAAATTCAAAGAAGAATTGGTTATATGCCTGAGAAATCCTTCATGATTATTTATTGTTGAGAAAAAATTAAAAATACTCTTGAAGAATTTAACTATTAAAAATATGTCAAATTTACCTCTAAATATATATATTTTGGGGTCAAAATATTCTTGCCGTTACATTTTGGCTCAAAATAGTACTCTCTAACTAACCAAATGGACCAAAAATATCCTTTCTTCTATTGATTGTTCCAAAAACAGGAGAATCAGAGCCAATTTCACCCTTAAACTATTTAGTATCGAATATTTTTTTTCCTTTTTGGTTTTCATCGGAAATGTCCAACTATTTTCATTAGGAGTCAATTAAATTCAAATTTCAAGTAAAACACTAGGGATGTTCACGGGTCGATTTGGATCGGTTATTGGTCAAAATCAAAATCAAATCAATTTAATTAGTTTTAAAATTATCAAAATCAAACCAAACCAAATATAATATACATTTATCGGTTTGGTGGTTATCGTTTTCGGTTTGGTTTGATTTGGTTATTCAGTTATTAACCATACACAAAAATAAAATAAAAAACATTACATTCAAAATGTGAAAAAAGTGACAACAATCCATTCAAAACGAAAAATAGTTAGAATGACTTAAATTGCTGAACTTTAGATCACTAAATTTACTATCAATAAAACTTTAAAATTCACTATATTGGCCTAGAAGGAAGAAACAATAACTTTTTCAGTCCCACAAAAAATTGTCATAAACGCTCATATACATGAAATCAATAAGATAAATGTTTCATCTTGGACATTTTTTCTTTCAATAAGTAAATTATAAAGAATTTTTAATGAAAATGTGTATAAGATCTTTAAAATTGTTTATAAAAACAATATATTTATAAGTATTTATATTAATAAAAATATATGTATATAATTCATCGGTTCAGTTCGGTTCGGTTATTTCTTCAATTTTTTTCGAATAAAATCATAATCAAACCAAATACTATCGATTTTTAAAAATTTAAAACCAAACCCAAATAAAATCGATTTTATTTTATTGGTTTGGTTCGATTTTTCAATTTGAATCAATTTTTATCCAAACCGTGAATACCCCTATAAAACACTATCTTATACAAGCAATTTTAAATCTGATAAAGGTCAAATTTGACATATGATTAAGAATAAAAATGATATTTATTACTCGATCATGACCCTAATAATTTGAGTTAGATGCCCCCAAGGCGTAGCTCAAGTGGCAAAAGGTGGAGGATTTGTGGCTTAGGTCGCAGGTTCAAGCCTCACACCATGCAAAGCGAAGCCTGATATTTAAGTGGAGAAGGGTAGAGGGGCAGGCCCATTATTCACCGAGTTTAGATCCAAAGGACGGGTCACAGACGGATTTCTGAGTTATCAAAAATAATAATAATAATAATAATTTGAGTTAGAGCTAAATCCTTCTTCTCATTTCCATGCCTTGACTCACTGACACGTTGTAGTTTAGGCATCCATTTAGCTGTGCCTATACACACGCATATGACAGAAAGGTGCTTCTACTTGAATTAAAATTTAGGTCACCTACCTTCTCCTCTCTTAATTGCTATCTGCCCTCATTTGTCTTTCAGAACTATATTCCAGCTGTTTATCCACGAGGGTATATGGTGGAGTGGTAAATATTATTTCATCCTTATTTAGCTAGTGTTTGACCATAATTTTCAAATATTTTTGGTAAATATCGAGTATTTGGGTTAAAATTTGGATAAAATTTCACCATATGTTTGGCCATAGTATTTGAGAAACATATTTCACTTTTTTAGGAAATATGATTGACACTCATAAGTTTTAAAAACTATCAAAATTAACCATATGTTTGTATTACAAGTCAATTGAATCTTCGTTGTAACAAATAACAAGTAGTGTCCATGACACTAGAGCAATATGGTAGTTCGGAGCGTGTGCAACAAGCATCATTCCATACATCGTGAAGTAGACAAAGCACATGACTTTGTTACCCTGAACAGATTGTTCATCATTTTCATCAATAATTATATCATCACTTTCATATTCACTGAATATTCTATCACTACTTTGGTGTTTATGTATAAACTATGTAATACAACGCAAAAACTATTATAGAGAGTGTTTTTGTAAAAGATAAAAGTTTGGTGTAGAATTTAAATTTTTAAAAATGAAATTTGACCAAAATACTAGTTTTTTCTAGTATTTGAGAATTTGGGTTATTTGTCAAATAATGACAAATTGTATGGACAAACATTATTTGTCAATTTTCCCCTCAAATATAACTTGAGAAATCTATGGCCAAACGGGTCCTAAGAGGTTTCAGGTTCGAGTTCTTTTGAGTATAGAATTGTTCATTCTTAATCAGAGATTTTGGATTCAAGTCCTCGAGTACATAGACTTTTTTGCACGACTCTGAATTTCGTTAGAACTCAATACCGAACAAATAAAAAATCCACCTATTTGATTTCCAGATTCATGGCATCTGCCCTCTTTTTCTGCCTTTTCTTCTTATAGGACAATTATCTTTTTTTTCCTTTTTGTGCGGTTTGGGATGAGAATCTTGTGATTGAGTAGGTGATACGCATATATATCGATATTTATATCAAATTTAATTAATGAATAAATGCTATGCATATAAATATACAATAACATTACATAATCATCAGTAATTGATTATTTATATCCACTCCATCAAGTTACATTAACTTGGTGTAAAAGTTATAGGGAACAACTTTAAACCAAAAAGCCAAAAATGTTGAGCTATATCCTCGATAAATCTTTTAGCCCAATTAATCGAACTTGTCACCTTTCACTTTCCACTCTAAGTGAGTTATCAAGAAAGCAAAAATGCGAGAGATCTTGGAAAGGATTAAAAAAATTCAAAATATTTACCTAGTAAAATCATTTTTAACATTCTTACCGTTCAAAATTCATGGCAAGTACACCACATAATATATTTTGTAATTTTCTAATTTATCTGAAAATGAATCAAGATGTAGATTTTATGTATGCAGCTAAAAAGGTCCAAAGAAAGAAGAGAAAAATATACTCCAGTATAAACTATAGTTCCATTTTCACTTTGAACTTTGGTTACATAGGATAGGATTAAAATAGATAAAAAGACAGTAATTTAATTATTTAAATAGTACTAGTAAAATGAAAATCACATTATTAATTCCTTAAAATACCCCTGAAACCTTCAACTTCACTTCTTCTCCTCTTCTTCCTCCTCTTCAAAAGCAGACACAGGAAAAGACCTAGAAAGTCCAGTAGGGGTAGCAAAGTTAATCTTCTTACACTCCGTATCGGAAATTGAAATATCAGAAATCGTAACCCAGATGAGGATCTCCTTGCTCTTTACGCCGGTGAGCTTCTTCATCCGGCGATTCTCCACGAACGCCGTCACCTCAGTATCGTACCATACGAGCTTCCCGATCTTCTTATACTTGTGCTCTTTCGCCTTCTTCTGTTTCAGCCATACGAATCCGGTTTCAGCGTTGCGGCCGACTTCTACGATGTCTTCAAGTGGGAGAAGACCATTGGGCATGTTGATTTCCTTCAGAAGTTCAAGTGATTTCTGCTTGCAAACCACCGGATCTGTGTAAACTTCGGCATTTTCACGGTGGCTTGCGATAACTTGAGACATGTTTTCCGATTTCACAGGGATTTGAGTTTTTTATGCAGAGAGTGATTTGAGGATTGTAATTTTGAATTTGTGAGTACTTGATTTGGGATTTGGGGTATATTTATACAACAAAGGGACGACGTTAAGTTACCAAATTGACCTTTAGATTATTTATTTGTTTATTTTGGAATTCTCGTGACGAGTAATTTTTGTAATTTAGTAAACGTTCTGCCATACTCTGAATTAATAAAGTCTTTTAACTGCATACCAGATATAGGAACTGCGTCAGATATACTAGGGTCAGTTTGGAAGGACACCCTGACAATTGAATTTGATGTAATTATATATCTTGTCCTGTTTGGAAGAATATGTAATTACTTGATCAACAGGTAATTGGTGTAATTGGTCGGAGGTAATTACACTCTACAATACACAGGCAGAAGTGAATTGCTGTAATTACCACCTGATTACTTTTTAATTTCTTTTTTTTAATTTTTTTTTAATTTTTTTTACATCTATTATTTTAAGTTCTTTTTTTAATTTTATTATTCTAAAAATTTGTAAAAGTTTATTTTATATTTTATTTTTTTCTTATTTTCAACCTTACTTTACGTGATTTTATGTAATTTTTCGTATTATCTATTTCTTTATGCCATGCTTATTTTCTCATTAG